CGCGCGGGCGAGGGGGTGCGCCGGGCGGCGCAGCTGCGGAAGGGGGAGATGCGCGGGGCAGCTGGTTCGGGCTCGAGAAGCCACCTCCGAGCAGAGAAAAAGCCCCGGGCCGAGCCGCTGTCAGCGCGGCTCCGCGGGAGGATCCCAGGCAGTGCCATAGCCAGGCTGGCTCCGAGCTAGAGCCCAGGCCCGGATTACTAAAGCAACTGGGAAGCTGCCTCTCCCGATCGGTAGGCTCTGCGGCTGCCTGCTGATCACAGGGGGATGCAGGGGACTGCTTGAGCCAAACCCAATTCCCAAGATCTCCATTTGCCCTTAAATGCAGATCAGCACGAATAAACGTTGATCGTTTTAGGATGAGTCAAGTGAATGCTTGGTAGCTGGAAGCCTACACACACCCCTTCATTAAAATACCATTTATAAAATCCAGACCCAGTCAAATCATTAAAGTGCACATTTGCTTTTTCCTGGAATAAGCTAGACCTTCAAAACAAGTTGGCATGAGCCAGCCACACAAGCAAGTATCTGGGTTAAAAAAACCTGGCCACAAGGCAATTCACAGGAGGTTTCAAAAAGCAGCCAGCTGCATACTAATATAGAACAAAATGCTTTGCTGATGTATGTATTTCTGTATTCAACTACACAAGAGAGTGAGGACCAGTGCCTTAATATGTGCTACCCTGTTTTCAACGTGTAACCAAAAAATGAATATATTTTGATGCTATTATGCATTGAAAGAAACACTCAAGAGCAAATTATAGCACCTTCCTTATGAATAAATACATCTGCTCAGAAACCTGAGGTGTTTAACTAATATCTACTAAAAGTAAAAATCATTCCATGTTTCCCTACCCCCAGGCAGTCAGGCGCAGGCCATTGTTGGAATAAACTCAGGGCCACCAAAAAGCCCTGGCAGCCCTTGCGTTAGCCAGCATTACTAAGCACAACTGAAACATGTCCACACTATTTTGCAGGGAATGCAACCTGCATTTAGTTTCCACAGGAGCAGGTTATAAAATGTTTACTCTGTTTCTCTTTTGTCCTGTGTGCTGCTTTCCCCCCTACATCTTTACTTTGGTGGGGATGGTCCAAACCTATGGGGGGGCTCTAGGTTTTGGATAGATCACTTGTGACATTAATAGCTCTGGGGAGGCTAATAGAGACAATAGGAGTTAAACGAACTCTTGAGATTACTAATAAAAGAGCCAATTATCATGTCGACTTGGAAAGAGCATCTCTTAAGATTTATCCCTTGCACATCTAATTTGACGTGACAAAGGCTTCACAGACAGAAAAATGAAACTTTAAGCTAGCTTACTGTATACTGATCAGGTTAAGAAAAGAGAACTGCTTTATATAGCATCATCCTCTGGTGGTGCCTATAATACCCAAATATTTTTACCTTGCCAACAAAATACAAGCATGCCATTGCTCAATATAATAATAGCTAAGTATTCAACACAATGAGTTGTACTCGAACAGCTTACTAAACAGAATCCAAATGCAAACCAATCACTTTCCAATTTTTCATCAAGAATCAAAAACTACCCTGAACAATATTTTCATAATCCTTAGGGTCATTTGACAGAAGATAGAAAACAAGAGTTTCATGAAAACCCAAAATACCCTTTACACGATTAGGAAACATTTTCAAATCCACTCATAAAGACTTACATCTAAACAGCCCTCACAATGACCAGAGTGACCAACCTACCACCTTTTCTACATAGCCATTTACCATTTTTACTCATCCCGATTTTAAAATAAAAACGGTAAACATTTCCTACCAGTTCAGAACCCCCCAAATGCTCAATATCGACAAATAATGCAATCCAGCTGGATAAATTGTTCTAATTACAAACGTGAAATGCATAGTAAGGAAATAAAACCCTGGATCTCAGATTGCAACATTTTCTTAGAAAAATCATGAACGCTGCCACTAAATGAAGGCTGATTTCAACACCGATTATCTATTTTATTTTCCATTCGCGACCCTTAGTAAATTATATTTGAAAGAAAAAAGGGGGGAAGGGAGCTTAGCAAATTCTACCTTCAATAGTGCCCAGCCTGTGAGGACATGCTTGGAATGCTAAAGGAAATGGCTTACCTTTCTTAATTACAGTTTGATCTGGGATGTTAATACCCGGGTCTTCTACATGCTGCAACAAAAGAAATACATAGGGACGTAAATGTATAATCATAACAAAAGGGAACGAATGTCGGGAAGGTTGTTATGTGTTTTATTAATTATATTTTTTCCTCGTCCCTACAATTTATATGTAAACATCTGGATTTGGGGATTTCTAAATGAAGGATTCCTCCCGCTCTTTTCTCTCATTCGAAATAAAAACATTTGGAGTTTCCACAAAGTGCAATTGTGACCCTGAAATCGAAATCGCTGTTTAGTTTTGTACCTTAACTCCTTGGGAAAACAAATCCTATTACAACAAGAGTCAGGTATGCTAAGTGTTGTTCCTGTGCGTACTGCAGCGAGGGCAAGGAAAAGGGGGGGGGGGGGGGGAGAAGTGCTGGAAATCATTTAGAAACATTTTAAGGGAGGAAGTGCGAGAAAGAGGCAAAACATTTGCACACTTTCACTGTGGGATTGAGGGGCGAGGAAAGAATCGCTGTGCTTGAAATGAAGATCAGAAAATGCTATGAAAACAGAGTAAAGAGCGGCTTGCTTCATTATTGTCCACTAGCAGGTTTTGTTGTTGCTTTTGCGGATGGAGTTTATGTGCCGGCGTCAAAACGTGATTAGAAAGTAAAATGAAATCATGTTTTCTAATTCAAAAACTGACAGGCAATATAATGTCTGGCTGTGTTTACAAATTAACACCAGTGCTGCTGAGATAGAAGATTTCGCAATCGTTACAAAACACAGGCATTACCATTTAAAAAACTATTACTTCCTTCTCTAGTCTTTGTCCAACAATAATACTGATTCTAACATTTTCCATTCTGTCTTGGATTTATGCTCCTGTTAATTGTGCCTGATCTCAATGATTCCGGGTGGATGGTACTAAGTTGCTTTATTACAGGTTTTATTATACTCAATGCTCTCATTTGTAACTTGCCTAAAGTGCTTCTGGATTTAAGTATAATTAAATTGAGAAATGTTCAGAAATGACTACTGCTGCAGTTCTTGTGTTTTAACTATATGGGGAAATATGATCCCTTTATGCATGCACCCTAAACCCATAAAGTAAATGTAGTGTGGCATAATACTTTTATTTGTGTTATTTCTACACATATTCCATACAGTGAGGACTATTAAAATTAAAATCCCACCGAGATATTTATGATTAAATAATTTGCACCATCTACCGGATTTTTCTTAAATATTTAGCAGTGATTTTTATTAAAGGTTAACTGTTGCAGCAACGTGAAAATTCGAATGACCTTTTTCCTGGCCCAAATTCCTTTAAAAGAACGTTTGGTTTTGCCTAACTGAATAATACACTCAGAAGGTATATTCTGTTATGTATTTTATTCTATTTTATTTGCTCAAGCATCCAGTTTTAGTTTTACAGAAGAAAAAATGACTGAGCTAGTTTAAGGTTTTACACCAGATGGCATTTGGCTTTCACGAAGTAGATCAGTATGATAAGAATTCATAGGTACTTGAAAGATTAATAAAATGTTACGCACTTAAAATATTTGTAAAAGGGAGTCCCCAAGACAGTCCACTTTAACAAAGTACAATTACAGGAAGGGAGGAATCAGAGGAATATTTTAGGTCATGCTTCTACAGTAACTATGACCCCGCAGTCAACAAATTAGTTTCTTCTAAATATTGCCTTCATGACATTTTATTTCAAGTTAAAAGAATCGATCTGTTTTCAACGAATCCAAATTGCTTACTAAATCCTCCACTTTGGGAGATGTATGCGTTTATTGCAAAACTGCTAAACATAAGCAGCAATTTTCTGTGGTTAATTTAGCCAGATGAGGGCTGTAATAAATTCACTATTTCCCCAAGTATAATTTACAAAAGGTTTCAAAATGACCCAAAAATAGGTAAGTCCATCTGAACATTATCCTTGCAACATGAAACTGTACTCATTAAACTGTCAACAGATATATTGTTGTAATATTTGATCCTGTAATTTGGGATGGCATTTTAGCAAAAAATCACATCCAGATACCACAATTCCCCTCCTCCTTCCTCTATAACTAAAGCGGCCTTAGCCTGTAAGCAGGAGCTCCATGAACTTTAATAAATTTATTGGCAAGTTCTAATTCTATTTTCAGGGAGAAAACCAGAAATATTAACTTTGATCACAAACAAATTCTTTAAAACACATTGCACTAGAGTACTTCCAACTGAACAAAAGCATTCTTGCCCTGGAAATAGCCAATGTGCTAATGTCATGCTTAATTAGAAATCATTTTAAACTGTATTTATTGATAACAGAATTAGACCCAAAATAATGTATTATCCAATAGTTTCCAAACATTTAATTTAATAGAGGATATAGGAGGTCTGGATAGAATTTGATAACCTATTGCTAATGATTTATGAGGTCATCCCTTAGCATTCCAGCTAAAAGAATAAGGCAGCATTTTAATATACCTCCTCTCTGATTTGTCACATAATTCCTTTAGAGTAGAGAATCTGGATGTTTCCTCTTACAACTTTAGACGTCATTATACCATATGCCAATTCTATAATCACTAAGAACTGATTTTAATTCTTAGGCCACTTTCTCTCACTTTTTTTTTTTTAATCTTTGACTGGGAGGACATTTAATGAGCTCTTGCATTTCAGGCTAATGTTTTCCCCTCAAGGCAGTGAGCAATCCCAAATGCAAGGCCCGATGGTGGGATTAAATATTCTTCCTATGGTAACAGCTTATTGTCTTTGAAATTGAAAGGTATTGTTAATGATGTCAGTAATGTGATTTATTTATATTTTGGTGGACACTGTTAAGGCAAAAGTGGTGTGGGTATAAAACCTATTGTTCTAGTTCGGGGCCATGGCATTTTGGGGGTTGCTGTTGTTTAGATTGATTTCTTCCCTGTGGCTGGGGTAGGCAACCATAATTTCTATTGAGAAAAGGACAGTGCTCCCCGTACACTGAGTCCTGAAACTGTATTTGTGGCTGAATAACACAGATTGTATGTAGGCATCCTCCTTACCGGTACGTCTTCTATAGCATGAGGTATTGAATGGATAGGAATGTCTCCTAGTCCTGAGCTGAGCCCATGGGGTCCATGTAGTAGATCCTCATGCCGCCGGTAATCCCTACGAGGGTCCAGGCCGGATAGCTGGTGGGGTAAGCCCCGGTGTGTATGTAAGAGGCCAGCCTCCTGGCTTTGTCTCTGTCCTGGCCATCCTGGATGTTGGGGTTGAGGCTGGGCATGAAGGGGATTCAGACTATAGGGGTCATTAACGTGGGAATAAGGATCTTGAGACTGGGGGTAAATGGGCTGGTAAGGCGGAGGGAAATAGGGGGGCTGAAAGTCAGCGTTGGGGGTGTGGGAGAGCGGTGGGGCGCTGGTGTAGGGAGATTGACCTACAGACCCCAACTGGGGTAACCGGGCTGTCCCGTTGCTGGTGCCATCGTGACGATCCTGGGGGAGGAGGGGAAGAGAAGAGAAGAAAATAAAAGAAAAGATAAAATCAAACTGTTTACAGTAAAATTGGCTTGTAAATTTCACCCATCAAACGATCAGGCAGGATTTGCAATTCATTTGCTGCCCAGCGCAGAAAAGCAGACCTGGAGATTTTCCTGTCTGCGACTTTACTCTCTACATTGTTGCAACGAAACAACTAGAAAGAAACATTTTTAAAAACCAACCACCCAAAACAAAACCCACCCAGTGAAAACGTAGTATGTTTTTACAATAGATACTGCCCGGAATTAGTATTTTTACGTTGGAGCATGAAACATTTCTTTAAATAAAATTAAGAACTGGGCATTGTTCTTAAAAATAAAAGAACCCACCACTACCAAAATGTATTCCGCTGGCTTTAAACAGATGTAAAGCAATATTATTGCTTACGTTATCTTTAATGCACCTAGGAAAACCACAGAAAATCAAAGAGCATTGCCATTTTATTACGATTAAATAGAGAAGTGAGTCTAAAATGATTGTAATCATGCAATCATTTACATTACAAGTTTCCCAAATGTTTAAATACGGTATTACGATATGCCTTTTCACCCCCATTCAATAGACATGCGCTGCTTTCTAGAGATTTGTGCTGCAGCATAAAATGTATACGAAAAATATTTAATTGAGGTGGAAAGCGAATTAGAGGAGATAAAATACTGCATAAACAATGAAAAGGCAGAACATTTTAAGACACACAGATGGGTAAATATAAGCAAAAGTAAAATGAATGCGCATTATTTTGTCCGTTCATAATTGGAACGAGGGGAGGAGAGTTACAAAATAAAAGCCCATAGGTATGTCTAAGATAAATTAATAGCCCCCAAAGAGGGGAGGAGAGATAAGAGAGCTATCATTACGTGATATAGATTGTAGAGCACATGAGATTATTATCTCGAAAAGGAAAAAAGAAGATATCATTACGTGATATAGATTGTAGAGCACACGAGATTATTATCTCGAAAAAGGAGAAAAGAAGGAATACTGAATATAGCCCAATTACAAGTGGGGTTATGAAGAAATAAAGACGGATATGGTATAAACAAGCCTTCTGTAGTTCACTTGAGACAGCCAGGGAAAAAAGCTAAAATCTTGACTGGGGGTGGGGAATGTCCTCGGAGGCAATCAGTGTGTAAAATCCAAAGTACCAACATCATCATCGACAACAACAATAAACGAGAAAGGAAAAAATCCCCTACGATATAATTCTGAAGCAACTCACCATAGCTGAAAAACTGTGTACTAACATCTGCGAAGCGTCTGGGATAACAAGGCAGGGTAGAAAAATCAGGGGAAAAAATGTGCCCCAATGTACACACACGCACACACACACACACACACACACACACACTCGCACACAAAAAAAGTGGTAGAAGCCCAGCTCTACACTATGACTACACGACCAAAACGCCAAGGTTTCTCATGCACCGAGGAAGCTGCTCTCCTATAATCCATCAGAACTTGAACAAATTCCTGATGCCCTTCATGTGAGGTTGCGAAGGCGACCGCTATCTTGTCGTGATATTAAGAATTCAAAGTTTGTGTGTGTCTGCTTGTTTCTTAATCCTTTTTTCCTTCTCCTCCCTTTCTCTCTTTTCTCCTTCTTTGACTTAGCTGCTGCTCCACTTGAGCTCCTAATAACAGAGCTCTGCTGCCTTCCTGGAGACTCCTAATAGCAGATATTCATGACTATTAATATTACACGAATACTTAATAAGGGAAGAATGGCTGGAAATCGAGCGTGAAGCGAGGAAGCAACTCAAGGCAGTCTGTTCTAAATGACGTCCATTGAATGAAGAATCAGTGTATCTAATCAGGGACGGGGGAGAGAGAGTGTGTGAGAGAGAGAGACAAAAAGGGAGAGAGAGAGGGAGAGAGAGGGGACATGCTGCTGCGTCTGACGAATCACAGGGAAGGGGCAACATTTTAAAAGGTTGCAGGGCATGCAAAAGTGAAAGAGAAAGAGAGGCAGGGAGAGGGAGAGGGTGGGATTGGGAAACGGGGAGTGAGGCGGAGGGGGAGAGGGAAGAGGGGAAGGAGGAGAGAAGGAAAGAGAAGGAGGAAGAAACGTGTTGGGTGAGGGAACCCCCTCCCCCCCCCCAGTCAGCATTATAGAGTGGGGCACACCTCGGGCTGCTGCTGCGAGTATCCTGCTGCCTCAAACGCCAAGGACAGCAGCGGCTGGGCGCCTGCTCCCCTCTTGCTGCCCGAGCCCCGTTCCTGCGCTTTGCTGCAGTCGCCGCCGCCGCCGCCTTTCCGCGGGGTCTGCTCCGCGGGGCCGAGCTGCTCCCTCGCCGCCGCCGGCTGCGCCTGGCCCAGCCGCACCTCCATGGTTCGACGGCTCCGACCCAGCCCGCTGCCAGAGCCACGCTAGAGCCTCGGGGACCGCAGGACCGGAGCCCGGGCCGCCGCGCCTCTTCCGCGGCACCCCTATGCCTTTTGCTCTCCTCTTGCCCTCCAGGCCCCGCTTGGGAGCTCCCGCGAGGGATCAGGCAAGAGCGAGGCGCCCGGACTCAGCTCCAGCCGCGTCTTGCCAAGGAGTCCCGGAAGCGAGCCGGGAAACTTTGTCTCTCCCCCTTCTCCTCCTCGCCCCGCTCTGGTGCCGGCTGGAGCCGGGAGAGGGGAGCCTGGGAGCCCCAAAGTGCATCCGCTGAGCTTCCCCTCCCCTGAGGAGGATCCGGGACGGGGGATGTTGCAGTCCGGGGAAAGGGAGGCGACTCCCGGCACTGGCAAGCTGGGGCTCCCAGCCCCGGCCCAACCCGTCGGACTGGCTGTGCAACTCCCAAACAACAACTCCCTAAAATATGACATGCACACTCCTCTCTCCCGACCGGCTGCCGCTGCTGCTGCTGCTGGCAGAGTTATCATAACAACAGTCACTTTGCCTCTGTGCATGTCCCTGCAAAGCTGTGCACACCTAACCCAATAAAGCTTGGATCCCGCGCTGAAACCTACAGCGCCCGGGCTCCGCGGCACGCTGCCGTAGCAAAAGTTGCTGCCTGTTCCTCTGTCACCCAGGGAGCGGATGCTCTGTTCTCTTGTCACAGACAATGAGGCTGTCTCAATGCAGGGGAACGAGTGTCACGCATCTTACTGTGGTTATTCTGAAAATATCCTATTCACGATCGAATACCAGTCTGTTCAGAGGGAGGACGGAAATCTTAATACTGCCCTGCCAGGACACTTAAATCTCCCGTTTCCAAGCCAGAAAAAGACACCAGGCTGCACCGTTATTTCCTTTCGAAGGAAGCCCCGACACTAAAGCACTAGGGCGTGTAGATCCGCAACTGGATTTAGCACTTCGGTGCAAAGTCACAACACCACAAGACAACACAAGATACTTACAACCAAATTCACACCCACTCGCGCACAGTTACACGCCGATCCAGGCTGAGGAGGAATTGTTTTGCGCCTACACCAGTCGAGAAATATTTATTTAGGAGAGCAAAAACCAACCCTGATAGATCATACAGATAAAGCTAGCTTCTGATTCCCTGTGAAGACAACCTGAACTGCACCAGATCTACTCTTTGTAGACAGAAGTCCTCCCCCCTCCCAAATTTCAGCCCCATACTAAAAACATATTTAATTTAATTTAATAACCTTCGGGTCTGGTGATTCGCCGATTCCTTTTTCTTTACAGCGGTACAAAAGGAAGTCAGCGGATTCCGAGGGGAATGAACCCCCCAAGAAACTAGGATTTCGATGTGTATATTCTCGGATAGAGTACACCAAAATATTTTTAAAGTACCAACACCCTTTATTACTCTGTATCGATGCAATGCCTAGGCAACTTTTGCGAAACGTTCAAAATATCATTTGTCGGTTACATTCTATAGATGGGTGCTAAATATCCAGGTATATATCAACACACCTCTCTTTTTCTCTCCACAGTCGCTCAAAGTAATAAATAAAATAATAATAATAAAATAACAATAATATAATAGTAATAGGGCGGGTTTTATTGTAAAAGTTGTCGAAGTCATAGAATCAAAAGCTAGACAATGAATGAAGCGGCTGGGTGTACGCTCACAAAGGGCTGATTTTAGTTCATCCCTGACTCATGGTAATTGTACAACTCAGTTTTGCCAACTATTCCCTTCACCCAAAAGATCACTTTAAGCATCAGCCTTTAGTACATATTTGGGATCCCTCTGGCATCTCTCGTGTACAAACAATTATTTCCTCTTTGCTTTTCATTCATCCATTCATCCCTCCATACTGATGAATGGAATCATTACAGGTACTCTACACATGATCTAGCTATCGATGCTACTATATTCTCCGCACTGATTTTGTTCTAGTATACTTCGGACAAACGCGATTTTCCAGCAGCCCCAAAGTTCCTGGTCAACGGCTCCCTAGCCCAGTGCCATTGTTTCCAGCTTGGAGGGCTGCAAAGACGACTGGCGAAGAAGCAGAAGTTTCCTAAACGAAATTCACAGATCGATGGATGCTGCTAGGTCCCATTCACAGCTGCCGGGCCAGTTGACTGCCCTCAGCCCAGGGAAGCGCTTACCTCACATTCCTCATATTTGATATTATCCGTCAGTTTCCAAAGCATTTTCATGGATTGGCGTGAGAGAGGGTTGGTGTCTCTCTGCCTTTCACTAAAGCGGAACCTCTCTGGTAGGCAGAGTGCGGCTGGTGGTAGAGTGTTTGGATTGCTCCTCTGAGCGCTCTGAGATCTCCCTCTAATGGTAGAAACTTTTCCCTTTTCCAGCTCTTTACCAACAGCCTAATCGTCTCATTAGCATATCGACAATAGTCCAATTGCTCTGCAGCACAACAACCTGCAACAATGGGCACAGGTAGAAAGCACCCACAAGCAAAAGGCTTTTCCCAAACAACTGAGCTCTTTTGCAGGGGGACAAAAATCCTGACCTAGATTTGGGCAAGTGTCCATTACGCTTCCTTTTTTGCCCCCTCCCTTCCCCGTTGTTGTGGCGGTTGCATGTTGGCTTCCGGTGTGGAGTAAAGTACAGAGCGAAATCAAAGCAGCAACCACTGACTGGGGCAGGGGGTTATGGATTAGCCTGCAACCCCCCCGCTTCCCCCCACACACCCATATGGACTTCACTGTGTCAAATAAGACAGAGCGAGGAAAACAGAAAGCCCACATCTTTGTCTCACGAAGTTGCTCAGCTTTTGTTTTCCTCCGTCTTCCCCCCGCTTTGTTTGTAAGACTTTTTTCTTTTCTAAACTGTGTGCTTCTGCTCGGCTGATGTTTTCTGTTGCAGAGCTAACCAATAAACCCGAAGATCTGATTGTACAAAGGATGATGCAAACGCATGTGCAGCCAGAAACTCTTTTGCAAGCTATTTGGGACGAGTCAAACTTGGTTTGGTTCCTAGGTGGAGAGTTTCATTAGCTTCGCAGCGTCCCGCAAAATTGACCAGAGAGAACTCACTCTGCTCCCAGGTGACACAAGATTCCCATCCTGAACGAAACCACCGACGAGATCTTTATTATTCTGTAATGTTACTAATGCTGAGTCACGCGCTGAGGCTCCCTGCTGAGAACCGTGTGGCTCACCGGCGGCCCATGCCCTCCCAGGTTCAGACAGGCACCTTCCATCCATGCGGCTCTTTGATCTCTTCGGCAAATCCCAAACGCCACGACCTTACCGCCCCACGGCGTTCCTTGTAATCGGGCAGTCCCTTGCATTACCTTTGGAAAGCCCCAAAGCCAATCGACTTTAAAGGTCCCCGGGACACTTTCATCCCCGACCATTGACTTTATCTGGGAATCTACGGGGGCAGTTTCACAGTCTCGGTCCGTGCGCCAAGCACACTGGTATGCGCTCTTCCAGAGCTTGGGGGGTTGTAGCCGTTCTCCACATTTGGCTAGAGAATTAAGGCAGCCTGGTGGTTTTCAGCTAGTGTGTGTGTGTGTGTGTGTGTGTGTGTGTGTGTGTGTGTGTGTGTGTGTGTGTGTGTTCAAACGAGCGAAGGGCACCTTATTTTTTGAGGTTGAAGAAGACAGGGCAATTACATGCCAAGTGTCTAAACAGACATACTCTTTTCTGTGGTTGCACTGCAGCTGGCTGGCTCTACAGGCCTGGGCAGCCTTCCACCCAACAAGCTCTCCCCTTCGAGTGAGGATTTACCCCGCTGGAAGATAAATATGTTTCCTTGAATCTGCAGGCAAAACCCTGGGGATGTTCCTGGAGCTCCCGCTGCACAGCGAAATCGAGAGCAATGTAGTACCTGCCTATATGCCCCTTTTGCCCCAGAGCTTTGAGTTTGTTTCTGGGCCTCCCCTCGACATTTCATGGGAGTATCTCCCCTCCTCTAGTCCCCGCTGTTTTTTTGAATCCCCCTTTTGTCTCCAAGCGCCACGACAGTAAATTGTTGTTTTACTCCTCTTAAGGTTCACGTGGAGCTAGCAGTTAAGGATAGCTCATGCAAAAAGATGATCCTATTGAAAGGACCCGTCTTGTGTCCCAGCTATGAGCTTTTGGAGTCAGTCGGGCCAGGTTTGTCCAAACGTCATTACCATGATAGCTCAGTTCATTGCATGTGAATGTGTGCGCATGATGGCCCAGCTTCGCTCAGAGGTGATAACGGGCGTGGAAGATCGCTCTAAAAGGCAGATGAATAGGCGCGCTGCATTACCATTTTTGGTGGGGTTACAACAGTCAAGGCCTAGGGTGCTTTAATGAGGTGCTCTGGATGGAGAAACCGACAATGCGGGCAGCCGGATAGATTCGCCGATCGATTGGCAAGGCAGCTCCCAGCCTGCAAGGCCACATTTGCAACTACAACTTTTCAAAGTTCGGGGTCAGAAGGAACGAGGCGGAGATTTCTTATTGCCTCTGGATTTGCTTTCAAGGGCAGGTTTCGAAATAATCATTTCACGTGTTCTAAGAACCCGGAGCAATCCAGGGACTTCAGCACACTGTTAATAATCTGGTGGTTAGTAGATCTATCCACTCTATCTTTATGTAAGCACGTGATTGGGGCTCCTAAAACGCGGTTTGCAATATAACAGATTATGCACTTAATTTCTGAACACTGATCCGAATTAAGTGCATAGTTACAAAAATGGTTATCGCTACATTGTTTGCATAACAGTGGGGTCTCCACCCCCCACACTTCTGGCTGTCTCTGTAGCTTAAGAACTATTTGCTTGCCCATAATTGCTCATTTCTTTAAACTTTTTCTGAGTGAAAGACGTGAATGTATGTACAGTAACCCGTTGCTGAAGCAAATCTTAAACTAAGTTCACTTAAATGACCAAAACAGTAAAAGATTTAAAGCAAGATAAACCAAATATGCTCTTGTATCAGAGTTCACTTAATTAAAAAAATCCTTCTCTTTTGATCACTTGTACCAGAACCGGAAGGTAAAACTGCAATAACCTACCGTGTACAAAGTAAACTCTATTTATTTCAAAGCAACCTGCTATGGTAAATAAATAAAGCAGTGCGGTTTAAATATATTGTTTAAAAGGTTAAGACAAGTAAATAATCACATTGGGTCTTACGGTTACCTAAAAAAGAGTATTTTTGTAATATAAGGGCGCCGTGTTTGAATATTATATTTCATCTTTCATTTTATTGACAAACTCAAACAGGGATTGTGGCTATAATATTAGAATGCAATAATGATTTTCAAGAGATTGTAGAGGTCTGCTGTAAAGCCACCTGTGTGAGTTTCTTGTCTTATCCATTTTTTAAATAGATAATCTAATTAAACTATTTCATCTAGTCATTCAAAGGCCCAGACTAACGAAGAGTCTGTTGATGAAGATACAGAATTTGAAAAGAAAGTAAACACATTTTCCAAATAATATTGTCGTCATCCAAGTGATACTGCCTGTCGTATCAGACTGTAGCCACCGCACATAACCTGGGATTTTTTAAAAACACATCCCGACATCCCCCAAATCTGTTTCATAAACTTTGCAGGGAAGCCACCAATTTGGCTAAGTTATATATAAGATCCCACTACTGGAACGCTCTAAGAACTAGGCATGATCATTATCAGTTAACTATGCCTGGAAACATCAAGGTCTCCCGAAAGAGTTAATTACAGAAATTGGATAATTTACAGCTGCACAGGTCCATTCCACAAACCTGGGGGGTAAATTCAGTCACCTCAGGGAGCTGAGATCATAAAGTCACTAGAGCCAAGGGCTTTTACACGCCAATTACTTCCCTTGCATCATTCCCATGTACCTGGGAATTTTCTTGGAAAAGTCACTGGCTCGCGGAGATTTCCCACCTGTTGATTTGGCACCCAGAGCCTCCAGCTGAAAGAACATTCATCACCGATCAACAAATAACTGGACCTCCTGTATGGCAGGGCTCCTAAG